ATACAGAAGTTCATCTCTGTTAAGTTACAACCAAAGCTTGAAAAATTATGCTATTTTGTCATAGATTTAACTGACATAACACTATTTTGTTACTTAAGTGAACTGGTGTCATTGAGATGAGTTGGGACCTGGGAACTTACTAAGTTGGGACTTATTTCTAAAGATACTCCCTAGGAACTGTAAGTTTGATCTGAATTACTTGTCGTTGAGTTTATTCTTCTTCATATCCTTAATGCCCTCTGTACTGGGCAAAAAAGGACATGGTTTTCTGCAACAGGTCATCCATGCCGAATTTTGTGTTCTTCTGGACCTAGTTATCTTGCTTACATGGGCTGCATGGGGTGGAGAAGTAGAAGTAGCTTTTGTCAATGCTGAAGTAGATGACCTCATGTCTTGTCTTGTCCTATGCAAAGTCAACACAATTTGGGGATAAAGAAAAAAATAATTTTCTAAATCTATGAACTCAAGGTACTACGAAAGTAGCACCTTTCCATGGAAATCTTAAAAAAAAAAAAAATTGTTTGATTTAGCCATGTATTTTTTATGGGGAAAAAAATAGTTATTTATAATCCAGATCAATTGATGGTGCACATCAACACTCCTAATTGTTAAATACACTTTCCAGATTATATAGCACATAAACATAGAGTATACAAAAAGCTAGAAAAATCTTTTTGTTACTGCTGCTGGAAAAGGGATTGGCATCATCCCATTTTGAATTAGATACTCTGTTGAAATCTCTAAAAATGCAAATTTTTAAAAGTTGATAGTTGTTATTCTACTCAGGCCTACTTCCAGAAACTCTTCAAGAAAGTGACAAATTAATCTTTAAAGCCCTCACTCCTATAAATGTCTCTGTCTGCCCAATATGTAGTGTTAAAAATTTATAAGCTTTAGTAATGTGTAATGACATACAACATTAGTACAAAACCTTAAAAGGAAAAATACTTACATGAAGTATTATTTTTATTTAGCAAACATTAAACTGTGAGATATTTGCAGTAGTATTCTTAAAAATACTATTTATACTTATCTTTTGATGGTGAAAAGAAAGTTCTAATGGTTCATGACATTGTGCGATACTTCTATAGAACTTCAAAATTATTTTCAGATTGGATTGAGGCAAGTAGTTGTGTTATTTAATACCTAATGGATGAAAAAAATACCAACAAATTTTAAAGAATGCACAAATAACAGTTGTGGTGATAACAACAACTAACTCTTAACTAATACTTCGCATTCACATTTCGCTAATCATGGGGAATTTAATTTAAATTTTTAAACATTCTAGGATTTAATACGTATGTGTGTCTACTTATCTAAGTATTTTTGGAGTATAACATGGATTTATATAGAGATGGATTTTGAAGCACAGAATAGTGAAGTGTCTTGCCTTAGGTATCAGCAAGGATGAAAAAATGGATACTGTTCGAATAAAACAATGTGAAGACCAAGTTATAACAGAAAGCAAATGAGCCTGTGGAGTCAGAAACAAGCTACTCTACAACGTCTGTCTCTGTGCATGGACTGAGAGTCTATGGAAAAAATTGCAATGACTTTTTTGTTTGGTTGGTTTTTTTCAGTGAAAAAGGCATTAGGCTTCCTCGTATTTTCTGAAGGGAAAAAAATACACACAATCTGGCAATATTTGCATTCTGTCTTGCTCCATGGTAATTTTCTTGCCTGCTCTGGAGATTTGGGTTAAATTCATTTTCTATTGATAAAGCAAAGTAAACTGCAAGAAAACCAGTTTGTCTCTGCCTCCCCTTCTCTTGCATGTGTATCTACAGAGAGGAGTGCCTGTTTGTTTGTTTTTACTTTTAACTTGACACAGCTGAGAAAAAAATAATGTAGTTTGCTTGCTTATAATTTTCATCCCTGTAATTAATAAACAGGGATGAAAGGGATTGAGATCCGTGGAAGAATATAATAAAATGTTTGTTTAAATTGGATACTTACAGAAATAGAAATAAAGATTTGGCAGAAAAGCTTTTCTATGTAAATTATACCATATAATCTAAACTGTTTTAAAGCTTAAAAACCATTAAAATCGAATAGAAAAAATAGAAGAAACACCCAGGAAAAACTGCTATGTACAGGATGAGCTTTTAGACGAGCAGTCTCAGCTTGAAATTCTCCAGCTGGACAGTGATGCAGTGGAAAAACGGATAAAATGCCACAGTACTCAGGTAATGGCCTTGGTACAACGTTTGTTTTGTCTAACTGTAGGTGTCCACAGCCTCGATGGGAAAATAGGAGGTGAGTTTCTCAGTTCTCGTTGTGGTCATTGGAGACATAATCACCTCAGTGAGTGAAATCAAGGCTTGAATAAATACCGAGCAGCTCAAATATTAATGTCTGTTCTCAGCTGAGCTGAGAGTCTCTCCAGGTGACCGTACAGCCAGGTCCCCACTCAGCCTCGTGGGAGTGTAGGTATGTGGTCACTCTTAATCACCTACATGCAGATGTCTAAACTGAGGTGATGGTGATCTGATCTGGTAAGTTACCTTTCCCCAGCAATTCACTAAATGATACACAATTATTTTATTTATCTATTACTGTTACTGATAAGTGTCCTAAATATTTCACAGGCATAAATACTGGTCATTACTCTGAACAATATCCAATCCAGAAAGACAATGATTTAAGAGGGAATGATTTAAGGCAGAGAGAAAAAAATTATAAAATAATATGTGATTTTTCCCAGTGTCTGAGTCTTATTTTTTATATGTAGATGATTTGTTCTTTTGGAGTTTGGGTTTGTTTATTGGTTGAGATTTTTTTAATAGAAAAAGAGGGATGATAGAATGTGTTTAGATTAGAAAGTGGGGGAAAAAAAGAGAATTAGTAGAATGACTGAGACCCTTTTTCCACCCTACTGATACCACAAGGGACTAATGGAGATGGATTATTTACTGTATTATTTCACTACAGTGGTGTATGAATTCTGGAGCATGACTGAGCCTTGAACAGAAATAATATAATAAAGTTTATTCAACTGAATTTTGTTGCCACCTGTGGGCTGTATGGTAGCAAAGTGTTTCCATTCAAAACATTTAAATGTTTGGGAGTGGGGTGAGGAAGATACTGGGTGAAGAAAACAAACAAGTTTTGATTTGTCAAGGTTCTATTGCATACAAGTTCTCTGGAAATATTAGTTGAAGAAATTCTACACAAAACTTGGATTAATTTTTTCACTTAGTTTTATGATAAGTGTTTTGCTTTTCCAGTATTTTTAGTATATGTCATTAGGGTATAAAAAAATATTTGAAATACAGTAAATTGCTAGTCATTTGCTTGAATAAGTATTTTTTAATAAGGTGATTTGAGAGTATAGAAAGATTTAATGTAAAGATAAATATGCAGTGAAAAACTAATCAAGCAATTGAAATAGTTACTCATGATAAAGCCAGGGTTATCAATGTATCATAACACAAATTGCTTTATGAATATTGATTCTCCCCCGATAGAGGCAAATTGCTACTGGGAAAAACTGGTTCCATTAATCTTCTGAATGAGTCAGTTCCCAAGCTCAGTAACTTGGGAAGGTGCACTGAAGGTTTCATCTTTCTGAAGACTCTATTTATTATCTTTACTTATGTAAAGAGTTCATTAGGAAGATTTTTACATTGAAATATGGTAACTTTTTAGCCTCCTTTAATGCAGTCATGCAAGTCTTTAACTACCAGACATAAAACTGCTTAATTCTGCAGATATTAATGGATTCATATGTCATAAAGTCAGAAGAAACACTGCAATCGAGTCTCGTGTGTGGCACAACGCGGGCCATAGGACTCCAGTGTATTAAGTACTACCTTGTGTCTAAGTAAATGTGATTGAGAAGGAGTGTATTAAAATAGAGGATACATTTTTTTAAATACATTATTGACCTTAAATAGTCAGTTAAGAATTCATGACAATCCCTCGTAGGTTGCCTCGGTAAATCTAGCTTTTGAAAACATGCAGCATGTTGATCCTCTATCATTTTAACATCTTACTCAGAGAGTCACATGAAGCCTAACATAGAAAAAAAGTATTTTATTTTATTGCCTTTATCAATAATTTTTGAAATCTCAGAAAACCAATCCAGCAGATTGTAGGACAAGATGTGTTTACAGTACATCCATAATAACTGTAAGAATTCTTTTAATGTATATTTGTTCTTTGTAACTAGAGTTAATGCAAGTTAATATGGATTTATGATATCAGCTTTTCTGATAGTTTGACTGGAATAGATGAGGAACTGCCAGGGCGGAATTGTTTAAATGACACTGTTAAACCCTGAAAAGTATTAGTTGAGAATCAGTAGAGCATTAGTTTCTCCTTTTTTTAAGAATCTTTCAAGGTTTCCAAGACCACACAACCTAAAAATGGTCTAGAATTTTCATAATGGTGCATCAAAAACTCTTGGGTATGCTCTACCTTGGCAAATTAAAATTAATCTGTACCTCTCTGGTTGCAGTCGCTTTTATCCTAAGCCAAGATACTGCGTATTCCATTGTTATTTTTGATTTCTTTAATTTCTTTCTCTCTCTTTTTTTTTTTTTTTTAATGGGAGGGGGTGTGTCTATGTAACATTTGAACAAACTACAGAAAACATTGTGTTTTTATATTCAGATACTTTGAATTAATTGCATCCCAATCTTTCATTTTTATGAGATTTCTTTTCTTAGGACACTGTTTGTGTAGCTGTGCAGAACTGCAAGTGAGTGTGTGCATGCAAATCAGTGTCCATGAGTATGTCAGTATGTCTATGTGCAAGTTGTCATGTAACATTTAAAAAAAACCGAGGACATGTTTGCACCTCAAAAGTATGACTTTTTCAAGATTCCTTTTGCAAGAGAACTCATTAATTTTTAGTTCTATAATTAGCCCCTACTCATGTGCCTGAAACTGATATCCAAAATAGAATTCATCAGCATTTTTTAAATTAATTTTTTAATTAGTATTATGCATCTATGGGGAGTGTTGTTTATAATGTGTCAAGGTAAGGAATACTGTGGCAAGCACAGTTTAACAGCTCCAATACAACCACTTTCTCTGAACTTTCTGAGGAAAACTCAGATTTTCTCCTCCAAGTCTAGTTTTCAAAACCATGTTTTGAAAGTCTCCACAAAGTTAATTATAGATGTTTAGCAGTCTGGCAACCTAAAATGGCTTAATTGACCTTGGTTAGAATGCTGTTTATCATGCCTTTGAGAACACTGTTCCATTAATGATTTGGAAGTCAGCAGCATTATGATATCAAATGTTTCTAATTAGATCAAATTACTCAAAGGGCTAGTTTGTTTGTGTGTTTGTTTCTGACAACAGTGATTAAGTGGTATAGTGACTGCTAGGGCAGAATTTCAGAGTGTTACTATTCTATCTTAACTTCTTAGTAATTTTCTGTCAATAGCGTTATCAGGAAACCTCTGTGTATATGTTACTCTAGATCTGTCTAAAATAAGCAATACCTACCAGGTGATCCTTTTGATTTTGTTTCCCTTGAACAAATAACTACTGTCGAAGGTGAAAAAAAAAAAAAAAAAAAGGTTGCTTTTCAAATGGAATTTCTTTTCAGTTCTCCCATTGTCATAGTTTCACAAGTGAGCAATTTCACATTTTATTCTGAAATAGCTTGAGGCAGGTGCCTAGAGGATGGGGAGAATGGCAGACTCCATTTCCTTGTGGCATATATTAAATTTTAAAGAGTATATTTACTTGGGCTTCTGCTGGATTTAGTCAAACTTTAGCTGACAAATAAGTAATTCTATTCTAAATATTTTTTTTTCCTGTACTGAAGTTTCACCTCTCCTCATTGAGCCTTCAGGATTTCTGCATTTTTGCATATAGTACAGTGTTTTTGTTAACAACCAATACAGTAAAGACCATGCTGTAAATGAGAAAATTCAAATAAAGAGATAAATTTTCAGGGGGGGGAACCAGGACATTGATTTACATATTGTTTTAATACAGAAAAGGACAATACCTCATAAAAAAGTTTCATTTGTACCCTCATTGCTATTTACTGTTACTGTTGCTGTATCAATAGCTATTATATTGCGCTGCAGGACCTTATGTTTAAATCTCTTCTAACTACACCGGCTTTTTCAAGCATATCTTTTAAAAGGCTAGTTTGCACCAGAAAACTTCTGGTGTTGGTGCAAATGCATTCGGATGAGGTGATGTTAATACCTGCACAAAGTGGAATTAAGGGTACATTATCCACATTTGCCTCACTGGATCCCTTAGATTGTTGGAAAATAAGGATTAATAAAGAAACTTCTGAGTGACTGCCAAAAAAAGGAAAATATAAGAGTTTCAAAAATTTAGTCCAGAGTCTGACTCATGTCTATGAAGACTCTTTCTTTCATTTCTTTTTATTATTCTTTAATCAGTCCTGTTGCTTGTCAATCATATGAGACCGTTCTCCAAAATGCATGGCAGTGAAAAATTTATCCTAATTCAGTATAACCTCAGGAAATTTTCAAGGCACCCTTATGATATACTATTTAGTAGTGACCTGAACGAGGGGGTGAGTATCTGTGTGTGTGCTGCTGTTCTGCTATTTCTGCTTATGTGACATTTTAGTTTCTGCATGTAAAATGCTTTAGAAATTACTGGTTTAATTTACTTTATTTTTCTCTTTGCTCCTCAATAATCCTTTCCTTTTCCAGGTTAATTTACGGAAATCTGTAAAGAGCTACATGCAAATTCCTTGCTTCAAAACGGATATTTCTAGAATTATAGCTATTATGTCCTTACACAGCCACCTCACGTGCTGTGTACCGCATCCACTCTATAACAAGTTATGCTTATGGAAATTGGGGTGTAGAAGAGTCGATGTCTTTTATGAGACATCACTTCATGACTTTTATCTTCTAAGTCAAATATAACTGAAGAAATATCTCAGGCTTGCTAAATTGACTTTGAACCACACAAGGTAACTACACAATGACGTAATGTTAATTTAGAGAAATATTATGATATGAGAGGAATTCTAGTCTGTTCATGTGTGAGAAGTCATATTGGGGATAGAAAAACTACTTTAAAATAAGTAATACCCTACATCTTACAAAACTTGGGAGGGAAACCGTGCAGGGTAGTGACTTCTTCCCTCTTCTTATGTTGTCAGTGTGTGGCCATGACTTCTGTTATGCTTTACTTATATATTTCGTAAAGATCATGCTCTGGTAAGCTCACAGCTCCTGGAGCACTTCCACAGCCACTATGAAAGTCAAAGAATTGAAATATACAGTTTCTGTTTTACTTTTTGTCATCTGTATTAGATATACGTATAGATGGCGGGCAGTTAATATTTGATAAAAGGGAAAAAAAGCCCTAAATGTTCAAATATATTATCTGTATACCTGATTTTTAATTTCCTTTCTTTGAAGATACTTCCCAATAAAATATACGGTGAGTTTGACTAAGTCTTCCCCGTTTTGTGCCTTTATTGCTTGGGGGGAATATTAGGTCATGCAGATTGGGAAGAACAGAGGATGAGAAAATATTCTACACTGAGAAAACATTGTAATTTCTTGTAATGTTTAGTGATGCAGAGAGAAACTGAAGCTTGTCCAGCTCAGTGCATTCAGGTTAGATTTAGGAAAAGATCTTTAGAAAGAGAAATCAAAATAATTGTGTGTGTATACATATAATGTTAATGTACCTGTGCTTCAGAAGAAAAAAATAATTAGTTTATTAGTATTCTCATTTGATGTCCAAGATATGTTGAAATTATTCAAATACTATTTAATTAGCAGGAGGGAAGGAAATGTCACATAGTGATATTCAAGCACCTTTAGATATCTATAAGAAACTCGAAATTTAAGATCCAAGGTCAGAATTTAAAGACTTCGACCTCATGTGTATTTCAGTGTGGAGAATCTGTTTACTCACCAAGTGATGAGTACATGAACCTCCTACAGGAAGATGAGATAATAGCCATTAAGATTTGCTGGACGAAATCATTCCATTTTTTCTTCGAAGGTTTTTGGTCAAAGGTTGAGTTGTATGAAAAAATATTAGCAAGGCAGCAAGGGGCCATTATTATATATATATATATATATATATATATATATATATCACTAAGGACTTTGAATTCCTTTGGAAAGGAATATTCAGGATTTAAAAGGGTATAAGTTTATGAGAACATAACTACAAGTATATATTGACAAGGGAATACTTTGCTTCATCATACAGCACTGTGGAATCTTTTCCATTGAAAGTGTTGCACATGATTCCAAATAAAAATATTTTAAAAAGCTTAAATACCACTACTGACTGTGTATTGTAAGATAGATAATAATTAGGAAAAAGCAGGAAAACATATAAGGTGTTATATTACTTTTGACACTCTATAAATATTTAGGGATGGGGCAGTAAAAAATTATTAGTTTTTTGGTAAAATAAAAAGTTCTGCTTTCTTTGGTTGAAAATCCATATTCCTTGACTGCCCAGAAATTCTAGTGTCTTTTTTTCTCAATAATTTCTATGCTTTCTTTTCTCCTTATTCAGGTTCCTTTTTCATTTTTCTCTTTTGAAACAACTTGTGAGATTTTGATTATTTAGTTTTAGTTTTTCTGTGGTTCCAGCTTTCCCAGTTTCTGTTCCCTCCCATTATTCTGCTCAGAGCATTAGGCTGAAATTGCTCTGGGGGGTGAGGACACACGTGCCACCAGGACAGAGTAGGTGTTTGTTAGGAAGTGTGGACTGTTGTTCCCGTTCTGACTATGGTATTTATGTCTTGGTTGTCCTTGTAGTAATCTGTGTTAAATGGCAGCATGAAAGCAGGGATGGAAACAGACCTTGCTTTTTACTGAACCGGTCACAATTTTGCCTACCAGGTTTAGCAGGCAAAAGTCATACTTCAAAATAAATTCAAAATTTTATGGTTGATAGTTCTGAAGGCCATAAGATTTCTTCATTTACACAAATTCTTGATTTCTAGAAAAATTGGTCAAGGACAAGGGCTTCTTACTGCTTCTGAATGAGTAGGAACAAGAGCTATTTCGTGTTTCTCAAGAGGTCTGTAAAGCCCATGTTCCACACTGTACCTACAGTTTAGTTACAGATTTGCAGCGAACATTTGTCCTTTCTTCAACACCTTTAATCAGTTTAATTTCTCAGTTCTGTTTTCTGTGCTGCACTTCCCTCCATATGGTCGTTTCTCTCCAAACCTTTCTTTCATTAAATTTTTCCCAGTCTTCCTCACTTTAGCAGTTCTGCTCTGGATGTGTATTGCTTTGTGTATTTGACAACTTACCTGAAGATGTGGCAGTGTTAAAGTGTGGTATAGAGAGACCCGAGTTAAATTTTAAACAGATTATTCCATTTGTAACTGCAGCCTCTACAGAGCATTTTCAGTTCAGTAGCAGCTGTAAATCATAACCCTCACCCCCTCAAAAAAAAAGGGGGGAGGGAGGGGGAAGAGGAGAGGAAAAATCTCTTGCATTGTACTTTGTATTTCAACAGCTATCCTGTGATGGGAACCCAAACAATTTGATTTAAAACTTAACAAAGAAGTATCCCCCACTGTTACACTGGAGACATTATTTTATCTGCAATGTTGATGAACCTAAAAATTAATGTTATGAATGCTCTGGTTCTGCTTCAAGAGTTTGGTTGTTGGGCTGATGTCTCACATCTGTGCAAAGAAAATACTGTTTCACCACCTGCAACATCTCTGTGCGTAAGGGGAGGGACGTCTGGGTAAGCAAAGATGCTGGAATTCCTGCACATTAACGTAGCCTTTGTTCTTTTCTTCTCAAGCTCAACTTCTCACTGTGCACATATAAATTTTATCTCCTCTTCTTTACTCAGCACTAGAATGCTCAGCCCTAGGCTTCTCCGTGACAATGAATCAACTGACTGAACGCTCCATTCCCAGCACAGAAATACAGGCACTGGGGACCATATGACACACAAAAATTTCCAGAGGCTTCCAAGTGTCACTCAAGCTGAGTTTCTGCAGAGCTCTTGGAGTCTACATCTAAAGTGAGTGGAAAAAGTTTGCTACTGATGTTGACTCTTCAGCATTAGAGGAAAGTGCTATGTATGTATGACGCACTTCTAATCGTAGAAAAGCTTATTTCTTCTTTCTGTTATTGGAAATCTGGTTTCCACTTTTTCATTTGTGTGACAGTTATGGAGCATATTTTATGTTTATCTTTAATTACTTTCAGAGGAAAGAGGTAAGCTATTTGCTCAGTTTCAGGTTTTGATATTTGAGTGTTCAAGAAAACAAGGAATCGTGAGCAGAATAGTTTACTTTATTCTTATTTACAAAATCCCAGCTTCTTTTTTTCAAAATTTGTTTTATTACTTTTTCCTGTGATTAAGTGTTCATTATTAAAGATGTTTAAAATTGCTAAATGTAATAAACATAACTGTTCTGCAAATGTGCTTTAAGCATCAAATTACTTTCCTATGACATTCTGATATACCGGGTATTCTTTTGTTTCTAAATAGCTTGTATTCAATCTGTATTTTTTATGTCTTTTATTATCTTCCAACATATTTGCTGTTACAAAGAGTCTAAACTGATAAAATCAACTTGATTTGACTGATATCTGGACTGTTCAAAAATGCCTTGATGAGTGGCTTGACTCATTTATTATTCTTTCCCTCAAAACCATTCATAAAAACTCCAAAAGACATCTCAGCTGCACTGTAGATCCCTAGCTGGGATTTGAGAGAGATTCTTTTATGCCGAAGAGGAAAGTATAAGCCCCCATTGTAATGTCATCTCAATGACCACTCTTTTAATCGTTTCCCTGTGCTGCTCAAACCGTCGCTGTGGCTACTGTTTATTCTGAGGTACCAGCTCTTCACCAAGCTGTGGGGTGATAAGGGACAGGGTCACCAAGGTTTTGCAAAACAGTAGACAGACACACTTGGTGGAAGATAATGAATCCCTGATTTGTTTGGAACTATCAGTTCTTGTCTTGTCCTACCTGCTTTGGCATCAAAGTATGCAAGAGTACCTGTTCTGTCAGCACAAGGAGGAGGTTTTACAGGTGTTTATCAAAGACAGTTTTTGGAAGAGATTGCCATAGAGTGAAGCAAATCATATCACAAATTAAAATGCATAGAAATGAGAACATATTTTTTCCTTCTGGAAAAACAAAACAAACCAAACCAACATTAAAATATTTACAGACCTTGCTTCTCTGCATGAAAAATCCATGACCTGGAAGGGGCACTTGTTCACACTGTGGTTATGAGGCTTAGATCAACATCATTTAAGTAGCTAGAGAATATCCACATATTTTGGAAACAGAAATCCAATGGAAGCTTCCGAGGAGGGCTACCTTAAAACCAGAGGTTGGAGATTAACAAATTCAACAAATCAGAAAAGACTCAAAAGTCCAGACCACATACTTTGTAGCCATCAGTAAAACGCTGAAAGCACATGTATATCTTAAAATATTTATGCACATGTGCGTGCATTTACTGTACTACCAAAAATGTTTGGATTGTACTTGATCCTTTGGGTTAATAAAATGGAAATTTAGAGGAGAGGTGAAGCCCGTATGACATATCTATCAAAATATTCATTACAAACAAAACTCTTCATGCTTTTTAACAGTAGATGTTATTTTATGCACATGTTTTGATGTCAGCATGATTATCTCTTTGTCATTCCTAGCTTGCAAGTACTCTTCTTGCTTAATTTGACAGCATTAATTCTCCTTCTCAAACTTTTAAATGCGTATTTCTTCAGGAAAGCTAGCATTCTGTTGTCAAGTATATTTTTACCCTACTAAGTAAATCATCACTGACCTTTTCTAGATTGTCTGCAATGTCCCTTATTTGACATGATTAACACTATGCAATTTATAGATCATCTTTTATTTCATTGTAGCATAAGTACTCTATGAGAAGTGCAGTTTATGCTGAAAAATGTAATTTTTCTCCCACGTTTATTCCTGATGTATACCTTTTTTTCCAGTTTTTGGTTATTTTTTTACCACTCTAATATCTTCATTTTTTTTTAATTAAGAAGTCATTAAAGAAGGAGGTGAGAGAAATAAAGAAGTAAACATGAACTTTATTAAGTTTGAGCTGAATGAGATCCATAAGATGTCCCCTGTGTATGAATTGCTTAACTGAAAAGTTAGCACAGAAAATAGCTCCAATATTTTCCCAGTGTTTTAGTTTGGGACATTGTACCTTCAAGGCGTACCTTGATGAAAAGATCAAAGTTGAACTGAATAGATATTTTCCAAAGGAAAATGTCTACACAGCTAGATGTGTGGTAGATCATGATTAGAACTTTGAATTTAATTGAGTCAGGGTAAAAACCAGTAATTAATGAATGGAATGCCATGTATTAAAAAGAAAATGCAGGGAAATTTTTTTTGAGCTCAGGCAAACACACTTATGGGCTTTATTTGACAAAATGGCTCAGCAGAACTCAAAGCTGTAGGAGAGGAGTTCTGAAATGGCACCTGCCTACTTCTCCATTTGTAATATTGACAGAACATGGATTTGTAGTATGCAGAGTTGACAATTTCCAACCGGATGTTGAAGCACTGATCTACATGACAGGAATTGTGATCATTAGTTGCCATGCTTGAAAAGGATGTGGACAGATTCAATGTGGTTAGGTGCAATCAGTCCTGAAATTAATGCATAAATGGAAGAGACACTTTTTCATTATTGCCTACTTTGGGGGAAACAGTGGGTGCAGTCCTGTCAGAGTTCAGACTGATAGATATTGATACAAATCATTTTTATATGATCTGCCTATTTATTAGAATTGCTTTTCTGCTCTCTATATGGAAGTCCATGATGCATTACATTCTGAACTTCCCAATGTTCAGATTGCTGTTCTTATTGCAAGAAATAATGAAATGGATTCATTACTTTATTCTTAAAATATTCTGATTTATTTTAGGATATAATCTCTTCAATTATTTCATATACCCTTTTGTTGTCTAGTTCATTTATTTTACTGTAGAAGGGAACACATTATACATATTTTTGAAGACAAAAAATTTCAATAAATATTTTAAGAGTATGCAAGTACACAAACAGAAACAGGGAAAAGGACCTGAGAAGGTACAAAGTCCAACAGTGTTTTCAGCATTAGTGAAACTCAAGATTGTTAATGTCATGACAAACACAGAGGAATTACGAATACAAGCAACTGTTTCTTGGATAAACATCTAAAAAACAGAAGAAATTTTTTGTTGTGCTTTTAGATTTTCTTTCAGAATTATGTTTTGCAAAACAAGATTCTTTCACTTTGAACCCAGAATTACAAAGTTGAATCAAATAATCATTGGAACCTCAAATTTTGCATATAGGGGGGTTCTCCTTAAAGTATTTATCTTTTGAATTCAGTATATGAAACTGGGAAAACCTGAGTGCTGAAAGAAACTGCTGTGAGTTCTCTGGACACAAAGTTATTAAAAGGAAATTAACACTACTACAGTGATACAAACAATCTGATTAATAATCATTTATTAGTCTAGGGCTGTAGCATTACTCTGGGCTTCATGCCAGTATCTCTCTGAAGAGAGTTGTGCTTGTGGAGAAAAAGAAGAAAATATATCCTTCAATGGTAGTTTAAAAAACAAATCAAACTATTTTGAAGGTGAATATAGATCACTCAAAGTAGCAGCAGGAGGGCAAAACACTGGTCAGACATACAAACAGAAATGTATCATTAATGCAAACTGACAACGTGTAACTCATTGGTATTTTCAGCTGGGTTTGGGTGCTTATGTTCATAAGAAGTCTTCCTTCACCTCTACAACATACTTTATTATTTCTGCTATTTCTTGGGCAGTTAATGTTGAGCTGTGTAGCACCAGCTAGCCTCTGAGCTGTGTGGGTAACAGCCATGGGGCAAGTGACTTTTCATGATCCACTTTATCTCCATTCACCTTTGATGGGAATAATACATTACAGTGATGAGGACAATTTAAGAATATTTTCTTTCTCTAGAATATTTCTTTATTTTATGATTTATGTTAGGAAAACTGATATTTGCTTGATACAGTGTTATTGTATAAATAAAAACTGAACAGCCATATTCTAGGCTGAGAACGAGTTAAAACAGCATCAGTAAAGTCAAAAAGAAAGACATGAATGACACTGGTTGAGAGAACATAAGCTTTCTGGTACTCTATGTGAAAGACACCTTGGTTCTGCTTTTGAACGTTTTCCAAAGCTGCAATAGCAAGTGGTCATATTTCTCCAGCGCCCCATTTCATAGAGAACAAGGCTAATGTTCCTTGCTAGAGTCACAATGAGATCTACTCCACAAAACAGTCCTTTTGTCATCAAGATCAGCACTGAGCAGCTTCCTGAGCTGAAAATGATTTTGGCATGATTTAAAACAAACTGCTCATTAACAGCTTTCTTCAGAGGGAGAACATGGATGACAACATTGAACTTGTTCAGCTTTTCCAGTAAGGCAGCCTTCCAGGTTTCAGGAGCTTGCAGAGCTGTTTAGATGAATACTATTTCTCTCAACCAAGGTCTTCCTCTCTGTGTAAGATGGGTAAGATCCATCCAGGCCTGAAGGAGGAAGCATTCATTGGAACTTGAGACACGTAGAATTAAATAAGGAATGATGAATATGTCTAGGAGGCTCCAAAAATCATGGAGATGCCTGGGGTAATTGTATCTACCATCCATATCGTATGTGCAGAAGCTGTTTGTTAAAATAACATTAGAAAAAATATTTGAAGACATGGAAGTGAAAACAGGATTATTGAAGCTAGTAACTTACTGTCTTTTTTTCTGCTTCTACACCTCTCACAGCTTTATTGGGTTGACTACTCTACTTCCTTTGCAAACTCTTCTTCTCTCCCTGCTTGTCCCTGAATTTTTTTAGTTGTTGGTGTGGAACAAGAAAGTAGGCAAGCTAAAACTATGTAAGACAAAAAAGGGAAAAAAAAAGTCGATACTGTAATTGTTGAGAGAACAGTCATTAACAGCTCAAGGACTCAAGAAGAGAAATGCTTACTTAAGAGAGTATAAAAAATTAAAAGCCCCTCAGTGAACAGGATGATGCTGATTAATATATTCCTAGCAGCAATGGAGGTTGACCTTTCCCCACCTGGCAGATGACTGCCTGGTCACAGAGATTTGTTGGTTGTCTCTTGGGTTTTGTGAGCAAATTAATGCTTGCTCTAGAACATATTAGTTCCAGACACTTGATCTTTGAGCATTAGCCAATAAACAATTACACTGTGTTTTAAGTTGTGTTTATCTTGTTTGCAGAGTCACCATCTGGCAAAGAATATCCAAGGAAATCCAGAGAGGTATGATTACAGAACCAGCATTGCAAGAAGGTTGTTGCAGACCATGTGAATGTTCAGTGTGAAGATCCTGATGCGCTTTACAGAAATAGCAAAGCTGAGAATGGGTGCTACATGATTGCTTTTTCCTACACCAAAGAGTTTGCCTAAGCAAGTAGTTTCCATCTCCTGCTCAGCTTGGCTTCTTTTTGTCTAGCGAGAGCGTGAGCAACAGCCGTGAGCAGCAGCTTTCTTACTGCCCGTCAAGGACAGAACGAAGCACTCGCCTTCCTGGCCACTGAGAAACCAGATAAAAGGTACAAATCCACCTCCCTCAACACTAAATGTTTCTTTTCTTGACTGGATGAAAAAAATCCAAACAAACAATGGAAAAGGCTGCCGTTTGCTGTCTGTGATTTTCAGCAAACCATTCTTCGTCATCCTCGGTTTTTTGTTGCAAATAAGAGTGATTTTGTGATGTCCCTTATTCCTCTTCTCTGGGGCCACAAGAGTAAGGAGGGAGTACTCTTCTCATCTGACAGTTCCCTCTACAAGCCAAAAGATTTCCTTAACTGTTCTCCTTCTTGTCCACTTCCTTTTGCACTTAGTACTTGGAAGAGCATAGAACTGATTTTAAGCACTGTAAAGAAATATTTGAGCCACATTATTCATATAAATTATTTTATCTCTTGATTTATGTAATTTGTGTGCCTGAAGTGGATGATTTGTTTCATTGAGATCACTATAGGAAAAAAACCCAAACAACGTTAAAATTAAGCATTAATAATTCATACATTTTTTAGACATTTGTTTCAGTTAAATAAAATAGAAATGTAGCCACATAAAAATCCATACAGTTTTAAGCTGATTAGATCAATAAAGTATGATCTCATGAAGGATTTTATTATTATTCTTCCCTTCTGTGCTAACTGCCTTTAGAAAAGGAGTTTCTGTACCTATTTTGTTTTGGAATACTGCAAAACTGTTAAGTGGATTTATTGTAATATCATTCAAAACATTCAATTAGTTCAAATGAACTTTGTTAAGATTTAGTATTACAGATAATTATAAAAATGATAACAAATAAAAATAAGCCTAAACATTCTTTCCAGATGGTTTAACTTAGATGAAATATCAGCATCAGTCTTCATAATGGAATGAAATGTTTGAACTTCTTTTTCAAAATCTGCTGATTTCATTGAAAAGGGTTTCTTGAACTGAGATGAATCTGGAGAAACTCATGCCACAATATCAATCTGAGTCTATGAAGACCTTGAAATAGTAGTTATGAGGAAACCTGTACTTAAAGTGTTTTATACATGCTAACTTTTTCAGTGATGATGAAACGTGGCAAGTGGGGGTTAATGGGGTTGGCAGAAAAGCAAGACAAAGGCAACAAGTCAGTCTGAAAGCATAAAAAGAAAAGGGAACTTAAAAAACCCCACATGCACTTACAATCTGAACATCAGCATCTATTGTCAGCAGCATCTTATTTTTCCATCCCACTAGGAAGAATTTCATCTTCAGGCTCAACTTGGGAGAACTTCAATATAAAGCTAACAAGACACACCCATCTATGTCATCTTAATAAAACTCTCATACCAGTGCCTCTAAATAATCCATATACAACCAGAATGAAAGATTAAAGTATACGTTCATTAAACTTAATTTCATTATGAAGCTTGCAAAATCTGGAGTAAGGCTAGTAACTAGTATATAGTTAAATCCAACATACGTTCTCTTCCGATTAAAGCAAAATATAATCAGACAATTTGAATATGTAGTACCATATCCACACAATGATGTAGATTTTTACAACTGAAAAATAGAAACTTATTGAAATTTATCTTGCAATGGTATTACATACATTCCTGTTCTGATACTAAAAAACCCTAAAAATTTAATATGCCTAAGTCCCATATTCTTCCAACTGTATCAATAGTGAGGAAGGTGAATGAACTGGGAAAGCTACATCCTGGTTTTAAAGAAAATGCCATCTGACTTTGAATTAAAACTGTCCTAGAATTGTAACCACTGCAGAATTGAAGTCACAACCAATTTTCACATAGTTAATAATAGCTGCTCACAAATTGAAGTTGGGGATAAAAAAAAAAAGAAAAAAAAAAAAAAGAAATTTTTTGATGGAGCTTTAGTTGGAAGGCAGATTTATTTATTAACAGTATCTCTTGTAGCTTCCTTTCCCTCTCATGAGGTGTGGAGGGTGAAATTTCAGTGGTTCTGCAGTAATTCTTTGATAACTCTTCCCCAGATGTTCTAGTGTCAATCAACCCCACCTCTCTGTCTCTCCACCTGCCCCCTAGCACCACAGCTCTAGTGTTTCCATCCCTGTGGGGTTGTATTGCTGTATTACCAGGAGAGTTGGCTGGCACGGGGAGGACGGGGCTGATTGCCCGGGCTTCTGTGCAAGAATTGCAGCAGAATTACAACCCAGATACTGAAATTGTAGCCATGGAGGAGTTTGAACGGAAAAGGTGATGGGAGAGAGGAATTGCACCTACCAGAGACATCACTAATAGTGGGAAAGTCTCCCTTAAATTAATCCTTATTAAAAACAATTTGGGAAAAGAAATTACGAAACCTAAACCTCATTTTGAAGTACGACAGTTTTGAAAAAGAACAGAAAACCATTAAAAGATACGGTCCTTTTTCAACTACTGTTTGAAAAACTGTTTTTCTAAGTATTGTAGAAATGTTATACTGTTCTGACAGCAGTACTACTCTAAAGCTTTGATCACCTAAATATCAGGGATATATTAAAAGCTAAATAGCAGGTTTTGTGAGAAAAAACAGTTAAAGTGTATTCATTAGAACATAATTTGGCATTCCCATCCTGATTCTTCATTCCAACGACAATTTAAAAAACACACATACATAATTTCCTTAAAGTGGCATTGCGGCATTTAAGTACAGAATAAGTAGATATTTTAGGGGAATTTCAGATATGTTATTAACATCCACAGACCAAAATCACTTTAAAACCAGACAAATTTTGATTTTTTTTTTTTCCAAATGTCTTTTGGAAGTGATTTAACAGAATTTTAATGCCTCTGAGTTAATAAATTTGTGTTATCATAGTTATATTTTAAGATAGTAGGATCATTACGGCATATGGGGGCATTGCATAATAATTCAAAACCCTCACTGACTCTCATCTCGCTTTAATTTGCTGTGTTATGAAATTCACAAAGCTATTGCCTATGCTATGAGAGATACATTTAGTAAAAGATTTATATTATCCATCTATATCAGTATCTTCAAAGTATCTTTGCAGTATGTCATAGCTTTCAGCTGCTTCCATTTCATTTTGTGATACAGCAGAGATCATATATGATATTATATAAAACATATATTAACTCAGTTGATTCTTCCATCCAGAGCTTCCAATGTAGAATACTTGTTTCTGGGACTTGCAGCTTATTACTGTTGTTACTGGTTTTACCTCTTTGGTCTTAATTCTGTTATTGTTGTAACTATTTAATTTTTTTCCCTCTTTGTCAATGTCAGACAGTTTTGCTCCCTGGAATAAATAAGGTGTACTATACATTCAGATCAATAGGTAATAAAATTTAGCAGGATTTATTTTTGTTACAAAGTACCTGCCCCAGAACAGGCTATCTATACAGTTTTTACAGAAAGAGTAGTACCAGCTTTGATGAAGTGTTCCCCAAACTAATAATACCATTAGCAGTTCTCTAGTATCTTGGCTTACACTTTTTGGTGTGGATACGGATAACGTTACTCAATTTGGAATACCTAAAAACCTTTGATCTCCCTGAGCACAGTGACTGTTTGCACAGCTCTGTGACCACCACACAGCTGTGACTGGGTAGATAATATCCTGCTTCTGACAAGGAATGAATTCTTAAGGTCCTGAAATGTATATGTTTCTGACACGAAGACAGAGAGGATCCGCTTTGTTCTAGTGAATGTTTTCCCTTACTGCTAAATCATGAACCCCTCCACTCTGGACAGTCCCTTGGCATTACTCCACCCTACACACATCCCTCGTGTGGTGGTGTTTGAAGAAGGTGGTTCACCAGGTGACACTGCACCACACGTTATTTCCTATTCTGCACTTAGCATTGTACTTCTTCACCCTGCAGAGTGACTTGGAACAGAGCCAGTCAAATGGGGAGCTAAATAATCTCCCTGATGGAATTTCAGCACATGAGGCGGCTCAAGTCAGCTCTTTTGGTGAGGTAGGTCTGCAGCACGTGACTCCAGACTGGGAGAATCACAGATGTTGTGGCTTTCCAAAGGACGGGAGCTCTGTTTGTATTTACTCCTCTTTGCTTCTCCACCTGCCTTATCCCATCAGATCCTGGTTTCGTGCCACTTCACTGCTACTTCTGTTGGCCTGGTGTAGCTGTGGACTGGAGATGGGACACTATGACACCTGCTGAGGAGGACCCGGATACAGAGAGGTGGTTATATTTTTAACCCAATGAGTTTTCCCATCCAGTTCATCATGTTTCAACAGAGGAACCTGGACTGACAGAATGCAGAGAGTGTAGGAAAGCAACTTAAACTAACATTTTTAATACTGCTTTTGCTTTCTAGCAACCCCTTGACTGCATGTTGGGCTAAGAGAGAAAGAAGGTGTCATGGTCTTCTTGGGAAACACAAGGTCCCAGAACCACAGCAGGGAATGAGGAAGTTGACATTTTACCATGACTGGCTTCTACCTTGTCTGATAATTCTCTTAGAATCATCAACACATCACAGATAATATGATACTATATTTGCTTTCTCGATGAAAGTCTAAGGGTCTAATGTGTCTCGGGTGAAATGCTGGTAGAAACATATCCGCTGTTCCTTGTTTATTAAGTTTCTTACTTGTTCAGTTCTAGCTGTTAGTATGTGGTTTCCTCAAACTGTTTAGTGTCTTATAAAGTATCTGGAAGCTTCTTACATAAATATGAAATAACGGGGACATCAGTGTAGCACCAAGAATTACTCTCTGCACAAAAATTTCATGGAAGGGGAACAATTACTATCAATCCGCTTAAGATTTCTCTAGAAGAGAACAAAGCCAGAGAAAAGCACTTATCTTTATCAAATCTTATAACAAAACACAGGATCTACTTTGACAATGAAATTAAGTTTGTTCTATAAATATTGACTGGTATTACTAATAGTTTATTATTTGCTTCTTTATTGACTGAGTCCTGGATTGGGGTTTGCTTGTTTTGGTTATTGTTTTTTTTTTTTGTCCAAGACTGTTGTCAGGCTACATTTACAGTTTCGTGAAAGAGTGGAGGACTCAGGCTGCTAAAGTTTTTTTCCTTGGCCTGATTTTCCATAAGGCTTAATACAAATTATATGTAGTTTTGGATTTAAAAAAAAAGAAAAAAAAAAAAGAAAGAAGAAAGATAAAAATGAAAAGAAATAAAAGCGTTACCTAGGTAAGCAAAGTCATTTAGTATTATTCAACAATTAAATTGTTTTTATGGTATAAAGACTGCACCTGTTTCTTTTCAGAATTTCAAACTGAAATACTTGTTAAAGAGATTTCGTCATCTCTGTCTACTAATAGACCTATACCAGTAGGAAGATTTTGTTCTTTGCTATGTTTTTGGGTTGTTTCCTGCCTTCCTGCCATCCTCCAGTAGCTAGACCTTATTTTTCGTAATACTGGGACCCAAGATTTTAGTGTACTGTCTTCAGTTTCTTGTATCAGTTCCGTGCTTTTAATAATGTCCTAGTTTTACTGCTTGCTTAATATTTTTCCATTTTATTTCTAATTTATACCTTCACATTGATACAAGTGAACTTTCATCAAATCTTCCCTGTTTCTTGAGAGAGGATGTTTTCTTGTCTGTGAGCCTTGAACCCGACGGCGGTTCTTGTCTCTCAAAGGTATCCCAAAGCACCAGTGTCAGAAATCCTTGCTTTCTCTCGTGGCTTCTCAGGGGAAGTTATGTTAGTTATTATTCTGTTCCTTGAACTCTTAAACATATAAAGAAGGTCATTCAGAAGCCTAATGAGAGAGCGTATGACATTATGCTTGCAGTATGCATTCACCCCTTTATTGGAAGGATTTCTTTGTATGCAAGTTACTCTGCCTTCCCCAGTTCAGCAAAGTTAAAGCTGTGTGAGCTCTCTAAAGTGGATGCCATGATGCCATGTGGGAATAACATATATTTGTACAGATTAGGCTTTATCTGTTCAGAAAAGGTATCACAGTGTAGCTTTCTTCCATTTTGACTATACAGGTACAGCTGAAAAAAAAATAAAATTTGTTGGTTTGCTTTGCTTTAAGCTGAGTCATATCTGAGCTGTACAATGCCCTTTATCAGAATTAGGGGGGAAGGTGGTTTGTGTTGTCATGTTCATGCACTGAACTGAATTTTTTCAATGCTTACAGCTGGATCTGCATCAGGTTTTAGGATGTATAGTCCTGGCTTTAACAAGATTCTGGAACAGTCTATTAAAGCAAATAATTTTCATGTATTCTGGCATTTGATTGTTTCTTTACTATCTGAAAATAAAAACAATTAGGGAGATATTACAAAAAAAAAAAAAAAGACATAAGGGAGTGAGCATATTAATAGTGCAATGTTGCAGTAATTTCTGCAAAAAAGTGTGGATATATATACAGGCATAGGGCAGAATTTGTATGAGTTTTAACAAGTAATGCCCTTTAACCTGCCTCACTGACACCTGCACAAAACCTGCGTGTGTATGAGACCAGCCTGGACAGTGTCAGTAGCGGTTTCAGCTCACGTGGGATGCAGACAGGAATATGGAAAGGAGCTGTCTGGTTTATGCTTCTTCTAAAGAAAAATAAAGAAAGAGTAGCAGTTTGGAGGAAGTAATTGAGGCTGAAAATAAAACTAACTCCTCTGAGATTGATGTTCCTTACTTAGAACTCTGAGTTAGTGTAGTTTTGGAAATTTAGCTATTACTGGTTGATCGTTTCACTGGATGATCAGGGTGTTTTGATTTCTCCTGTGGACTTAGAAAGTTGCAGCCTTTTCTGCCAGATATGGATGTCCGTACCATACTTTTATCATCTCACCACTGGACTACTGAGAGGACTCATTCTTATTTTCCTTTGTAATTGCTGTTGAGTCTATTCAGGGGCTGAAGCTGGGGGTGGATGTGCTACTCTTGTGACATCTGTAAGAGGTTAAGAAGTTGTGTGCCTGCCCCACTCATCTCTCATTTGTTGGTTTTCTTTCCCTTCCTTCAGAAGTCAACACTTTGACAGCCCTTCTTTAAATGACATGCTAATCTAGCTCTACCAAAATGAAGAAAAACTTTTTAAAAACATGTAAGACTATTTTTATCGTGTCGACAGCCTCTCTTTAGAGAGCCATGATATGTACAAAAGAGGAGGTCATGTTGGGAAGCAGTGAGCCTTGGTGGGTGACCTGGGAAGGAGAACCTCCCTGCAGAGCTCTGCTGAGGCCATAGGGGTTTCGCTGACCAGGCTGAGGTGGTCCAGAGCAACCTCCAGTACTTCTTTCCCACAGACTGCTTAATATGTGTGCTTTGACTGTAAAATATTTATTAATCTACGGCTTCCGGTACCTGAAAGTTTTCCTTCTTTTTTCACAAATTACATGGGAATAAGTTTATCTACCCTTTTTTGTACTTTAAGTATCTAAAAGTAAAAGTACTCTACAGCATTTTATGATGATTTATTTGTTAATACACCACCAGAAAGCATTCTCTGATATGCAGTTTGAACTTCTCCATTCTTAGTTTAATCCTATTACTGCTGTTTAAATCCCTGTTTATCACCCAGAGTGATTCTTCTCCTGCCTTGGATTTACACTCCCAAGATATTCAGAGCCTGTTATCAAGTCACGCCATTTCAGCACAGAGTAAGCTATGATATATTATACATATTTCATAATTCTAATTCTGTATTCCTCCACCTGCCCTGCAGTTTTGTGACAGTTTGTGTTGTCAAAAACATCTTTAGTTTCTGGGTGGAGTTTTGGTAATAAGGAACCTGCAAAACAGCAAGGATTTCAACTCTGCTGCTTCTTGAGTAACACAAAACCCAATGGAAGTTAAATACCTGATTTTATACTAGGTCTAAAGTGAATGACTATAAGACTATAAGGCTATCCTATAATGTGTCTCTTTTCTTTAATAACGACCAAAACCAATGGTGCCTTTATCATTTGTGTCTGTAATGTTAATTAGGTTCTATTAGAAATACTCATCCAATTCACTGCTGTGATCAGTCCAATAACTGTTATCATTTAATGGCTGTATTATCATAGTATGTAGAAACCCAACTCAGCAGCTGATATCCACCCATGCCAGGCACTAGATGGACACAACAAGAAGAAAGTCTTTTCAGCAAGGAGCCCACGGTCTAAATAGGCCCAAGCACCTAAGACAAGATGGCAGACAAGAAATGAATGAAGAACATGACAGGAACTGGAGGGACACAAGGTGACAGGGTGGTCACCATGGTGGGTGATGGTTTCAGATATGGGGATTCCTGGGGCTCTCTTAAGACAGTGGCTTTCATTCTCTCATTAAGCATGTTTCAAGTAATTTCCTTTCAAATTCTTGCCTTAAAAAAAACTTTCATGTTTCATTTTCTACATTTCTGATCTCTCCAGATGGCATTGTATTACCTCTTTGTGCTGATTGATCTCTGCTTTGTTACTCTTCTCTACCTATTTCTTTGATTTGTGTTTGGTTGACTGTCTGCAGTATTCTCTAGTCTTTGCAGATAACAGGATAACATATCAATAATATTTTACACATTATGGAAATTTTAGAATACATTTTAGAACCAGTAGGTACATGACAGTGTATATACCAGAGTACATATCAGTAAAGATTTTCAGTTTTCTTTTGTTCTTTTTTTATTTTTTTATTTTTTCATTAAATGGAGGAATAAACCAAAACAAGTAATTGTTTTGAATGCCTATGAGTTACCCTTGTTTCCAGCAGCCTTTCTTTTCAAAAAGGAAGTTACACAGTGCTGCATCCAGTCACTGTGAGCTGAAGGCACATCTGCTACCAGGCAAAGGTGCTACCTCAGCTTGGGGCTTCTGCGTCACAAATTGATGTAGCTTTTTTGTTAAAGAAAACACACACAAAAGAAAAAAAAAAAACCACCAACAAGCTGTTTGTTTCATCTCTACATATTTAAAGTAGAAAAAAAATAAAAAATTACAATTTTTGTGGTTATTTACAAGATAAACAGTTTTTAGCTTTACAAATTCTATGTGAAGGTTATGAAAGCCAAGTCCAGATTTCATCACCTACAAGGTCTATATCATCAGGAGAGTCCTATTATTTTATCTTAATCTTCCCCCAAAGGGTGAACAACCTCAGGAATCTGGTCAGGATTGGTGCTCAGCCAGAGGTTTAAAAAGGGGAGTAAGGTCCAGGTTGTTACTAGTCCACAGGTGCCGTGGATGTTCCAGTAGTCCTGGAATAGCAGGAGGTGGGATAGTGGCATTTTTAACACTGGAGAGTTTGAAAAAAGACCCTTTCATTTGAAAATTCTAGTTGTTGTGCAAGAAGTGAGAATAAGAAGTGAGGTGTCCAGCTTTGCTACTTAAGAGAAAAAAATAAGATAAATTTTCCTTTTCAGAAAACTTTCACTAGCAGTAAATGTATTAAGAGAAACATTTGTGTGTTATTCATTACAATTGTGATTAGGAAGATTTTCCTGTCACCTCATTAACTTACAAATGATACTCCTCCTATTTTCCCTTCATGAAGAATGAAATGGTGGGTATTGTAAGATTTATGAA